AAGAGAGAGGCCAGTTTAAACTTTCCAGTCCTGGAAGAATGGCCTCTGAACCAAACACTGACACCATTTCTTTTGCAGAAAGAGGGAACTTGGTCAGAAGTAATGGAAAGTTGTCAGAAAACATCTTAGTCTGCAAAAGATTTAGAACCTGGGCAAATGTTCCCCTCAACATCAATCAACAAAACAACAGCAATAAAACAAAACAAAACATAAAAACAGAGTTACAGGTTAAAACATGTTTATGAGTTTCGTCAAAAGGTTTCAACCTAATTTCAATCAAGAATCTATGGCAAGATTTACAGATTGACGTTCACTCCAGCTCTAAATGCATTGAAAAAAAGTCAAAAATATCAATGTCTTCATATTAGACATTTCAAAAAACCTTTTAGCTGTAGTTTCATTGAAAGGTTTTTTCAAAGCAGTGACTGTGTCTAAATCCAAAGCTATGTTTTTCACATCTCTATCAAATTTTTTAAAACCATGTATCAATGTCCTCCCACTTCACAATGGGGCGAAAGGTGAAAAAGTTGAAAGAGTCAGCACTTTTAAAAGTCCCTCCCCCCATTTGGAAACCTTTCTTTGAAAGCTGTTTGACACATTTATTGGTTTTTGATTTCAAGTAGAAGTTTTCTATTCAGAGTTTGGGCATCACCACCCATAAATCGACACTTCTTGTTTTGTGCTTTGCCATGTCAGTGAAAAAAGACTCTTGCTTTCTCTTGTCAAATAGACGCTTAGAAGAAAATAGAAAATACACACTTGAGGAACAGTAGTGTGGTAGGCTTGAGAACATGACCTGGACACCAGGAAGAAAAGATGATTTGTTTCTGCACAAAAAGTTTTTCAAGCCTCCCTATGCCGATATTTGATCCTACACAAAGACTCTAATGCTATTTACTAGAAATCACTGTCTTGTTTCCTTTTTTGTGTCTACATTAGTGTCATATCAGATTTTATCCATAGCTGTGTTCAATATGCTTTTAGACTGTTTGGTAAGTGAATTAGTCATCTTCAATGTGCAGTCTTGTGCTCTGATGGCTGCAGATGTTTTATATAATGCCTAAAGACAGCACTTGTAGTCATTTAAAAAAAATAGAATAGGATGCTGTCTTCATGGATATTATTAACCACAGCAGCATCTTGGCTCAAGATGCTGCTGTGGCTTGGGATCATCTGCCTTGTCTGAGGCCATTTCTATCGTTTTAGTCTCGACTGATGTATTTCCGTGGCTGTCTTATAACGGGTTATGCGTGTGATGCTGTCGCTTCTGCATGTCTCAAAATGGCAGATACACACAAAGCGCAGAGGACCCAGAATGTGTAAGTGACTTAATGACTCAGTAGCAATTCATGGAGGGGGAAAGTAAAAAAGCTAAATAAACAAAATGTAATTAGCATGAAATATTGGCCACTTGGTTTACAGGCCAGAAAGGCTCATGCATATTTATACCGCTGGCAAATTTAGATTCAAAATATCAAGTTGGAAAAAAAGAAAAATCATTAGCATTTTTTTTAATGACCTGTTACCGTAAAAAAAAATTGTTTTATTTTCTTAGTCAGTTGAAATTACAGCAATCGTCTTGCAATAGCTGAGCAGCTTTTTGCAACTTTCCAATTGTATTTTGGATATTCGTTCATGATGAGCTTTAAGTTTGATGTTGGGAAGCTTTTTCACCCCTTATCTTCAGATTCAACCTGGACTCTGGCTTGGCCACCCAAGAACTGTTAAGATATATTTATAAATTGCAATTTTAGAGACTGAATCCCACTGTGAACAGATGAGTGGGTATATAGGTAAGACTGAGGATTATGACTGCAGGATTCAAAGAGGTGTGTAAAGCAGAAACCTTTCTAAAACATCATACTGGATAACCCTATAGAGGGCTTTAAATGTTAAAATCAATGCTTGGTTGCAGAGAAAGTCCATGGAGTTGCTTAGAAATGAGAGTGATATGATGGGCTTCAGGTCACAATGCAGGCAGCAAAGCTAACAACCACTTGGACTTTATAGATGGACTTGTGGGGCAAGACAGAGAGCAGAGAGTTACAATAATCAATACAAGAGGTGACAAAAAAAGCCTCAATGGGAGCAGCAGAATCACTGAGTGTGAGAAACGGACAAAGGCAATGCTTGAGTAAATGAAAGTAGGCAGGCTGAATACGGTTATTGATGTGTTTTTCTAAAGAGAGTGCGTCAGTGAGGGCGAAACCTGGAGTCACATCTCTGAGGCAAAACAAGGGGTTCAGGGAACTTCCAGAAATTACCGAGATGATCCAAAACCTTGTGTGCAGCTCTCCCAGAACGACGGAAACACATTACACCTGCAAGTACGGGTTGTGGTTAAAGTTTTTTAATTTTTAAAGACAAGCAGTTTAATACTTTTGGTTATTTGACGTAGGTAGAGTCGGGTTCTCCATCTGCTCTTCTGTCCGTAATTTAATTTTTTTATTTATTTCAAGTTTATCTATTGGATTTTCTTTAGCTCTTTGCTTTTCTATATCTTGACTTCCCCTCTACCAGGTATTATGGTGTTAAAATTCATCATGATATTACAAATACAGAACAAGCAGCTGTTTCTCATGAATGGGTGATTTTTTTTTTACTCGTGAGCTATGAAAACTGCATAGGAAACTGCAACAATATTATATTTGACTTTACATAATCTGCTCTTCTAGATTTTTTTCCCTGTGACATTCTATGCGGGCTTTCTCCCATTTTCGTTTTATTGAGTTCAGTGCTATGTTGCCAAGGAGGTAAACCTTAAATGGATCACTAATGAAGTTCGTGCAATGAGAAGCGTTTTGGAAATAGTTCATTTACCCAATCTGATGAATGCTTTCCCCAGAAACAGCACTTTTATTAGACTCCCCTTAATGAGCCACAACTCTGCTGCGTCATCCACCAACCAATTTGTTTGTAATAAATGTAGGACTTTGTGCTGAAAATGAAACAGTGAGTAAAATGGCACTTCCTGTGGGATGCACGTAAATAACCGAAGACATCTTTAAGTGTACAGAAAATGCCGTGGTATGTCTTTTGAGTGGCTGGCGGAGGCATAAATAGCTTTTTCAATACATAAAAATTTTCATGTATTTTATGGTTGTTACCTTCCTTTAACATTTTCTTGGTTTTGAGGAATAGCTTTTAGAAGATTGTTTCTCTTCATTTCACCTCTGCCTTTTCATGGATGTTACTAACACTGAAATGTAAATTGAAGAAGGTTGGAAGGATGAGGTAGATGCCGCAGTAGCAATACAGAATAAAAGTGATGCACTTCGAAATGCACCACTGAATCCTCCATTACAAGTACAATATTACAGGTGTAGCCTAGAGACATCTTCATTTCACTTGAAGACAGACCACTCTCCTCTTTCCACTCTCCAGCTGAGATGACCCATGCTGGGTACTGCAGAGCTTCTCATCTACCACATGTGCATAATGGCTTGTATAATGTCTCAGTGTGTTTTTTTTTCCCTCTCACTTTATAGTAACCACTGTGGAGTCTCTCTGAGTGGAGAAGGATTCAGAAAAAGAGTGAAATCTCAGTAAAATCTAGCAAATGTGAATGAGGACTGCAATTGTTTGATATTGTTTTGCCATCAAAGCCTAATTCCTTCAATAACGTCTTTGTTCTTAATCATCCAAATCCAAATAAATTCAAGAATACTTTATTGGTCCCAAAAAGGAAATTAAATAATCATGATGAGCCCACCACTCTGCCTGAGATTTAGGATCTTAGTCATTGAAATCTGTGTCAGGTGTGTGCAGAAGAAAGTCTGTCCAATTGGCCAAGGATTATATTATAGTTTGCCAAATATTCAAACTACACTTTTCATATTTTTATTCATAGAAAATTGTTCAAAGAAATGTCTTATTTTCCTTCTACTAAACATTTATGCAATACTTTGTGCTTGTTTATCTCATAGCATCTCTGTAAAATATTTTAAGGTTGTGGTTAAAACATGACACATGTAACTCAACATCTAAACATAAAACCTGTGAAATATTAACGTTTGTTTGCAGTTATTCCGGTTTTCATTTCATTATTGTGACCCTGTCCTTTGAGTGTGTCGATAGCTTGTGGAGGAAATGAACAAAACCACCAAAGTTTCACGCAGACGGATAAAAAGCTATACGAGAAGGCTTTAGGAATGGTTTGGTACATTTTAAATCACTGCCAGCTGGACATGTCATCTGCTCATTGGCATGAGACAAAGCGATCCTCTTCAATGGATTAGAAGGTCAGGGTGTCAGGCCAGTTCCCGGCGGAGTGTGACTCTTGGACACCAGGGATGCAGTCTGTGTGTACATGTGGGTTCACCAAAGCACACAATATCCACATATGTTCATGTGGCTTGAGCATAAGTTCCTGTTGGTTGGTTCCTGCTGTGTGGAAGTTTAATTTAGAGCACATTACATTACACTAGATTCAATAAGCACATGTTTTCATCCAGAGGGTCTTCGCAAGTACTGGAGGGACGGGAGAGTTTAATATCCAGCCCATGAACATGCAGATTTAGGAATGCGGGGAATCAGATTACCTCCTGAGCTGCAGTGGCAACATTCACTTTGTGTGTGATGGTCTCTGTTAATGTGCAGTTCATCCACCCTTACAAAACAAGGGTTTTGTTTGAGTTCACCATTTTGTAGAAACGTACAAAGAAAAGGGCCAACAAAAACATAGTAAGAATTTACTCTGTAAAAAGTGCTGATGGTGGAGGAAGATATGCAAAGGTCATAACACAAATCTAAAAACAGAAATGTGTTTGTTCAAAGTGTCGCGCTATATTTGTGGTAAACCTCTCACCAAAATAAATATCGGTGAAAAAAACTAAACTAACTGGACATAAAAGCTTTCGTTTTGGGATAAACGATGTCTATAAAAATGTCAACTTACCTATATTATTATTTACATCGGTCAATTAAACTAACTCTCTGCTGACAAAACTAAAAATGAAGAGACATTGTTGTGTATCTCATTCTTTCTTCTCCTTTCACAGTCAACAAGCACAAGCCTTGGATTGAGACCTCCTACCATGGAGTGATAACAGAGAACATGGACACGGTGCTGCTGGACCCCCCACTGGTCGCGCTGGACAAGGACGCTCCGGTTCCTTATGCTGGTAGGGAACCTAAATCCCAAATGGCAAACACTCAGATATGTACGGTTTATCCAAATGGCAATCATTTTCCTCACATTTTCACACAATTTAAAGCAGGGTGCTCTCACACATTTCTTCACTAACACACTCAGGACCTCGACAAAGATGCCACAGCTCTGTGCTCGGGGAACTGTAGCAACTTCACACCACTGGACAAAAACAGATGATCCAGCAGTTCTCTGTGCCCACTGTTGGAGCGTGAATTTCATTTATCACTCGCAGAAGTACAAAACAAATGCTGGTTTTTTTATCTTATTTTTTCAGAAAGGGAGCCTTTTTTCTCACCATGTAACAGGACAACTCTCCAAACCCACACAAATATTCAAGGCTGTGTATATTAGTAATTTTAACTACAAACCCAGGGAAGGAAAGTGCATCCTTTTCACTTCTAAGACCAAATACTTTTGATTCTTTCTTTGTGGAGTTTGCATGTTTTTTTTTTTTCTTCACAGCTTCAGCATTTTGATGTCATGTTTGTCCGATAAATATTTTTATAGTTTTATTTGCCATGTTGATTGTCGTTGCAATGCAGTTGTCTACAATGCAAATATCACAAAGGATTTGGAATGTAATATTTGTCGCCTTTCCTGCTTTAATACATTCACCCTGTTGGCGTCTCGCTGCAGTAGACGTCCACATCTGACGGATACTGCCCAAGAATCAGCTGAAAGCACTGAAATGACAGATATAAAGGAAGAGAAAATGAGGAGCTCAACGTATTTATCACAGCTAATATAGCATTTAACAATGTTATCCCTGTTGCTGGGTTTTCACGTTGTTCAACCCTATGCTGTAGGTCACTTTAGGCTTCATTAAACAAAGAACTGATAAGGAAGAAAAGCGAAAACAAGCCAAAAGAGGGATCAACTGTGATATTTGTATTTGAGAAAGATAAATGTATTTCTGCGTTGAAGGTTCTTCAAACACTTTTACAGTTTATATTAAAGTAAGAGTTCCTGCTGGTACACAAACTTCACTAATCAAGTGTTATTTTTCTGTCGGCTAAGCGTGACGTGACATTTGTAGGTCAATTAAATATACAGCATAAGCCACATCATCGGACAACAACGTTTTTAATTTCTTGGATGGCTACTTTCTACTTTTGAGTAAAAATATTTTGAATTAATGACACTCTTAATTGAGTATATTTTTTGGAATAGAGGAGAAAACACATTTATTTCAACAAGCCTTTGGGAATTAAATCACAACCAAAAAGGTTTTTGGTAGGTAATGTCAATGTCTAATCTCGTTATGGTAAAATGGATCCAAGTGCTGACAACTTCTTTCTTTCTTTCTTTCTTTCTTTCTTTCTTTCTTTCTTTCTTTCTTTCTTTCTTTCTTTCTTTCTTTTTTTTTTTCTTTCTTTCTTTCTTTCTCTCTCTCTCTTTCTTTCTTTCTTGTACATTTCCATTTTATCTTTTTAAATTTTATGTGTGAAAGGTCTATAAATTATCAGAAGAAATAACAGATATTGAAACGTGTGAAACGAGCACCCTGCGGTATACCATATTTCTGTACTGTGTAACCTAGATGCCTTACAGCACAATAGATTATGCTTTTTAGTCTGTAATACATTTTTAAATGCAGTTTTTGCAACCCATTTTTGTTGAGCTGTTGTTCCTTTCCGCTCAGATAGGCTTACAGTGATTTGCAGCTCATTGTTTTACCTGGTAAACAAATCTGTGATGCACTGAATGTTTAATGACACCACAACAACCAGGCTGACAGAAGGAAAAATTTATTTTAGATGCTTTTCTCAGTGATTAACATGTGGTTTGTTTGCTTGAGAAGGTCAACGTTGGTGAGAAATCACCCGGGAGAAAAAAACCCAGAAGCGTCTGACTGGTGATATTTCTCCCCTTGAATGTTTTTTATTGCTTGTGGTCTAATGAATGAAACCAGCACAATAGCTTCCAAGGAGACAGAAAAAATGGCCGTAAAAGAGCAGCTCCGTTCCAATTTATCTTCTTTGGTTTACCCTGTATTTTGTACAAACACCTCCATCCACTCCCCACCTCAACCCCACACAATCTAACTATTCTGTCACATTTTTATCTGGATCTCTACCCTCATTTGTGGCTTTTTTCTCCCACAATCCTGGCACCACAGTCCCTCTTCCTGATTCCTATGGTCTTTTTTTCTCTTCTCTATCTCAACACATTGCTCCCAGCGAGCCCATATTCAGCCAGTCACTTAGATTATAGACACTCTCATCAATCCTGGTTTTGTTTTATGGCAGAAAGGAGTGGGCTACCCTTCTGGCTCCACATTAATTGCAAAGTGGGAACACAAATGAGAATTGTTAAGCAGTTTCTGCAGCTTTTATACAGCGCCGTAAAAGATATTTGCCCTATTCCAGGTTTCTTCTGTTCTTGGATTTTTGATGAACCGATGAACCAACATCTTTCAAATAATCATCATTAAAAAAGAGACAAAAAGGGAACATTTTCCACAAGGATAACCCGAGTACACATCAAAATGTAATTACTTCATTAATTAAGACAAAAATTGCTGTGTGAAAATCCAAACAACAAAAAATAAGTTGCTTCCATGTTAAATGAATGAATGAATTTTAGCTAACCACATTTTTGCAAAGATATTAATTAAAGGCTCAAGCTCCAACTCTAAACTATTAGTATGTATTGTGAATAGGCACAATATAAGTAAACTGTTTTTGCTGCTTAATTTCTTTGTTGTTTAAATTATGAGGGATGAATGAAGGAAGTTCACTGAACCTGCAGCTTTACACTCTTCTTCCCAAGTAAATAAGAAAGAGTAACAAATTAAATTAATTTACACGGCTATTCAGTTTACATGAATAAAACAAATTTTTGTCAGAGTAATGTTATGGTGGGTTGATTACCTAATGAGCAAAATTATGTGTAGTTTTGACTGTCCAGCTGTATTAAAAAGATAAACAGTGTTTCCCCTTGTTGAAAACAACTTCACATTTCTTTTTTTTTGCACTGTTTCTGTGTGTTTTCTTCTGTACAAAAATTGTTTAAATAGATGTAGAAAAGTAAATTCAAATGAACTTTCTGGTACTTTTTGGTAAACCCTGTCTTCAGTCAGTGACTGAACTTCCAAACAGTCAAAACGGTTGTAGTTTCAGTCAGTGTGCCTTTTTCTGATGACTAAATTACTATAATTTGTGAATGAGAGCAGGTGTTTTGGAAATTCAGGCAACACTGCAGCTTTGTGATGGATTTGTTTTTAATTTTATGTTAACTAAAACTTATGTTTAGCTACATAATATATATTAAGGTGTAGGTCATATTATGAAACAAAACAGAGAAAATCTAGAAAAAGAAAATACTTTTTACAGCTTTTTTTTGTTCGTTTGTTTCGCCATTTTCTTTCTACTGTAAAGTCCTTTTTTTCTTTTCTTTTTTTCCAAAGGCCTTCTTCTTACCAAACATTTTTATGCATATCCTCTTTACTCTCTGTTGCCTTCGGCTGCGTCTGTCCCTCCTCTGCTACAGAACATTTCACTTTGATGTAAACAACCAACACTGCGCCGACCAACAGAAGCTCAAAGGTGTGTGGGTCGAGGAGCGCTGTGTGTACCGATAGTCTTCTCAATCAACAGTAGCGTGTGCAATGGTGGCTTCAGCTTTCAGGGGGCTACAAGGCAAACAGACAGTTTCATTTGCTTATTCTTTATCTCAAGGCCACAGTCAACAGGCACAAACACTTTCCATTCATCATACTACCAGAAAAATGTCCTATGGTGCATTGTTTCCTCTGGACGCGCGGAGGGTGGAAGAACAAAAGTATTCTGAAAAGAAAGGGAGAACGGATAGCTGAGGGGAGCTGGGGAGACAAAGAGCTGTTGCATGTAAGTGGAGGATTTATAACCAGCTTCTTGGAGACAACTCTTATTATTCATGCAGGGTGTTTGTGCGAGTAGCATGTAATTTTCATGATTGCACAAACATAGTTGTGTTTCTGAATCGGTTTTCGATCCCTATGCTTCCTCCCCTTGAGATAAAGATCATCACCTGCACTCACCAATTGAGACTCAGCCAACATGAACTACTAGACATCAAGCGAATAATGGGCAATTTACCCATAAACTTCTTCCACACACCGCCCCTCATACCGGATCTAGTAATTTCTTTAGTTTGCTTCAGCATCATGTGTGAAAGTACTTGCATGATGAGACGGTTGAAGGTTTTCCACCTATTATCCCTCCAAGCTGCAGTAGGAACACAGCTAGAGATCCAGTTACTGGCTGATTTGACTTTCTAGGTTTTGGACTATTACACAAACGAGAAAAAAAGTTGAAATTTCTCTCAAAAAAATAGAAGCTTCAAAGCAAACATAAAATTTCAAGATTGATCCCATTTATTCATTTAAGTTTTTGCCCTCAACCTGTTTCTGAGTTATTAATCCCAAAACGTGCAGCTGTATTTAGTTCTGATGCATTTAAAGAGCTGAAGAGCTAGGAATCTGCATTGCAAATTAGCCGAGGCTGTAAATGTTATAGTGCTTGATATTATGAATACGAAGTACTTGTCCACCACTCAAAAATGCCATAAACAAACAAAATAAATACTATTAGCAAAACATCCATGGCTCATTGCCAGAGTCTGAAAACAAATCATTTAATTTCATCCTTTTAATTAGATTTTATCCATCTTCTGTTTTCAGTTTAGTGTTAGAAAGCTCTATGTCAAATTTGTAACATGATCAGAAACAAAAAAAAGATTGCCAAATTCTTTGGGATGTAGCACTGATGAAATGCTTTTAAAATCTGCATTTAACTAGTTTAGTGTTGAAGAAAATTTGTGGAAAATAGTAAAGAAAATGCATGTAGAGGTGAATTTCTGATCCACTCTTTGAAGGATTTTTTTTAGAAGCACAGATGCCCTCGGATCATAACAAACAGGTGTATTTGTACTGTGTGATGGTCATTCAGTCGTGAAACATAAATCTGTTACATCCAGTCAGACAGTTGG